AGGATGCGAACAATCTAACAGCATTTGAGGGAAGACGGTCTAACACAGTGCTTACCCAAATTGAGTTCTTAGAAGAGGATATAAGAAATAAATTGTCAAAGCTAAAGATTCATAAGAGTCACGGCCCTGATATGGTACACCCCAGAGTATTAAGATAACTGTGCAACGAGCTTGCTGAGATCTGGAAGATCCTGTTCTGTAAATGCCTGGATGAGCAAAAGGTCCCTGATGACTGGAAAATGGCTATGCGAGTCCTATGTTCAATAAGAATGAGCGTCACTCCAAGAATAATTATAGACCAGTGAGCCTGACCAGCATAGTGTGTAAAGTACTAGAGAGCATCCTAAAAAGATGGCATGATGGAACGTCTGCAAAACAACCTTGTAAAGGACTGCCAACATGGTTTTATGCTGGAACGATCCTGCTTAACACAATTACTCAAGGTCCTGGATGTTTGGACTTGAATTCTAGAGCAAGGCGGTAACATCGACAATATATACTTAGATTTTACCAAGGCTTTCGACAGTATACCCCACGAAAGGCTGAGAATTAACCTGGAAGGGTATGGGCATTTGGGAAAATGTTCTAGCATGGATTGGAGACTTTCTTCACAATCGCCAGCATTGTGTGGTAATTAAAGGCACAAAATCGTCATATCTACTTGTGAAAAGATGGGTACCATAGGGCAGTGTATTTGACCCGTTGTTGTTTGTTTGTTTCATATATGACATGCTAGAAGCTATACACTCCCCCATACAAATGTTTGTGGACGATGCCAAGTTGTTCAGGGAAATTAAGAACCAAACAGACTGTGAAGAGCTACAGAAAGATCTCTTGTGAGCTTCAAGAATGGACGAAGAAATGGCTGCGAAGATTCAATGTCGCTAAATGCAAGAGGATGCACCTAGGTCGCACCAACAGTAAGGAGGCATATCACATATCCCAACAGGATGAAGAAACTGCACTAATTGAGACTGAATGTGAAAAGGACCTGGGTGTGTATGTAGACAAGGAACTCAAGTTGCCATTGTGAGAAGAAGGTGAATCAAGCAACAAAACTAGTAGGTCTTATAAAAAGACCATTCAGATCATTAAGAGTGAGGTGCTTATCCGTCTGGAGTATTGTCACCCCGTCTGGTCCCTGAGATATGTTAAAGACTACCAATTGATTGAAAATGTCCGAAGGAGGGCCACCAGACTGGTGCCTGCTCTATGGAACTTCAGCTACCCATAGATATTTGAATGCCTGTAATTGCCTATCTTATGCTACAGAGAGGCAAGGGACGACCTAATTGAACTGTATCAACATCTTGGATGGCACTACTCGGTCGAATGTACATACCTGGAGCTGGCGAACGTCTGCCCTGCAATGGGTCACAGCTCAATGATGAAGAAGCCACAAGTCCAGAAAACAGAGAGGGCAAACCTTTTCAGAGTGATAATTGTGAACTTTTGGAACAATCTGCCAGAGAGTGTTGTGACGGCACAGTGTGAGAGAGCTCTTTCAAGACCAGACGTGACAAGCACTGGAGCAGGTTCAGATACATTGAGGAGCCAGTTTATGCCCAGTACTTGTCAACAGTGCATAACAGAAATGTGACCGATGGTCCAAGCTACAATGAAAGTTGAATGTATGTACATAATCCTTTTTTTCTTTTCTTTTTAAACCATTTATAAGGTGACAATGGAATTTAAAAAATGTCGAAATACGTCTGCGTGGGGGTCCTGTGGGTCTTACATCGAACGGGCTTTTAGGGTTAAATGCATTTTCATTTCAAGTGGGAGGATATTAATGTATGAAATCTTTGAAAATCAGGGAATCTGAATGCCGTGTGGATATTTTGGCTCGATGAAATGAAAACATTTTTGAATAGGTTGTGCAGCACTTGTAGACCAAGGTCTCCTGCCAGGGTCTCGGATTGCATTATAACCTAATACAGGTATTTGGATTGATCGACTCCACATTTACCAAATAAGTCTATGGGTTGAAATCCTGGAATTTTCAACATAATTGCTCGAATTAATTCATAAATTAGTTAATAATATTTTTACATTTGGATATCCGAAAAGAGGCCTTATGATACAGCAGTCACTAATGAGGGTTGAAGATAATGTGACTAACAGTCACACGAGCTTGTGGGCTCTGTGACCCTTATTTGGCTTTAGTTACACTTCCAGTTACGGTATTACCTTAGATCTGTTCACAGTGTCAGCCAGTGGTCCAAATTAAGTGATTGCCTATGTTTGACTGTCTCTGTTATGATCAAAGTGCACTCCTTCAATTTGTAAGCATGATAAAGTTGTATGACAATGAGTATACCTTATATTGGAGTTGCATGCCCAGTACTTGTCAACAATTTGTAACAGATGTGACCGATCGCCCAAGCGGCTAACAAGCCAATCAGTCGCGAAGAGGATGACAGCGTACATATCCCAGATCAGAGGTAAGAAGGGTTATCCAGTGTGACCCTACCAATCATCATAGGTTTTCTCCCGCTACTACTGTTTCTTCCTATACTAACACTGGGCGATGAAGGTAACAACAAAGTAATGATAAGTTATAGCCAGTAATATTTAATATATCATTAACCATATCTGACATAACTATCGTCATCACTCTTTTGCAGCCATTTTCCACGCTTGCATGGGTTAGCTGTGGTTGTCTGATGGCAGCTCTCTAAGCTACACAGCCTCTTGTAATCTTTCCCATTACGTTTTTATCTCTAAGGTTATTTCTCACAACCCCTAGCTCCCCTTCCCTCCACATTCCAACAAATGCATCTCTTGATCCAGTTGATCTCTTCCACTTTCTTCACGCGCCCACGCCATCTTACCCTACCTCTGAGCAAAACCTTTAAAATACTGTGCTGTACTGTCCTGCCAATACCCAGCTGCCCTAATAGATCTCAATATCATGTTATAATTATCCCCCTCACCAACGAGTACTGTATTGTACCACTGTTTTCAGCATATTTTTTTTTGTCTAATAAGGAAATAATACATACTGTTGTACATGGCTTTGTGTTTTGTAAATTTTTAATCTTATTCATTTTAATATATCTTTATTTACTTTTACTTTTATCCTCTTCACCACTGATCCACTTGTTAGCCGCTTGGGTGATTGGTCTCTGTTACGCACTGGCTCCTGAATGTATCTGAACCTGCTCCAGTGCTTGTCAAGTCTGGTCTTGAAACGGTGCCGTCAGATTGCTCCAAGAGTTCACAACTCTCACTTCGAAAAAGTTATCCCTCACAGTTTTCTGGGCTTGCGGCTTCAACCCTGAGCTGTGGCTCCTTGTGGGGCGAGCGTCCGCCTGCTCCAGGTAAGGGCATTCGACTGAATAGTGCTCTTTTGAGATGATTATACACTTCAATTAGGTCTCCCCTTGCCCGTCTGTAGTTTAAGCTAGGCAATTTCAGGTTCTCTAATCTCTCTGGGTAGCTGAGGTGCCGAAGTGCAGGCACCAGTCTGGTGGCCTTCATTTGGACATTTTCAACCAACTGACAGTCCCTAGCAAATCTCGGGGACCAGACGGGGAAGCACTTCACTCTTGTAGATCGTTACGAGGGACTGACCGTCTAGATATCTGAACAACCATCTTGGAATGGCCCGAGAACTTCTGCTCATTGTCAATATAACACCTAGGTTCTTTTCACATTCAGTCTCAATTACTGCAGTTTTTTCGTCCCGCTGGGACATATGATACGCCTCCTTACCGTTGGTATGACCCAGGTGCTGCCTCTTACAGTGACATTGAATCTTAGCAGCCATTTCTTTGACCATTCTTGAAGCTCAGAAATCCTTCTGCAGCTCTTCATAGTCTGCTTGGTTCATAATTTCCCGAAATAACTTGGCGTCATCCGCAAACATTTGTAAGGAGGAATGTATAGCGTCAGGCATGTCATTTATGAAGCAAACAAACAACAGTGGGCCCAATACACTGCCCTGTGGTACCCCGCTTGTGACGAGTACACATGATGATTTTATGCCATTAATCACCACACACTGCTTGCGGTCATGGAGAAAGTCCGATCCACGCCAGGACATTTCTCCGAATCCCATACCCTTCCTGTTTAATTTTCAGCCTTTCATGGGGGTACACTGTCGAAAGCCTTGGCAAAATCTTGGTATATATTGCCGATATTACCACCCCGTTCCAGAATTTGGGTTCAAATATCCAGTACCTTGAGTAATTGTGTTAAGCAGGATCGTCCCAGCATAAAACCATGTTGGCAATCCTTTATAAGGTTGTTTCGTAGTAGATGCTCCATCATGGCATCTCTTATAATGTTCTCAAATACTGGACACACTATGCTGGTTATGCTCACCGGTCTATAGTTATTTGTGGTGAGACGATCGCCCATCTTGAAGATAGGACTCACATAAGCCACTTTCCAATTACTGGGGATCTTTCAGCCAGGCATTTACAGAACAGGATCTTCAGGGTCTCGGCAAGCTCGTTGCACAACTCTCTTAGCACTCTGGGATACACCATGTCAGGACCGGGACTCTTATGAATCTTTAGCTTTGACAGTTTATTTCTTATAACCTCTTCTGTTAACACAATGTGGGTCAGTGCTATGTCGAACCGGTTGTATTCAAACGCAGGAAGATTAATCGCAAATAGTGGCTAGAGTTGAGAGCAACAACTACTTTTCCCTTGCCTGCTATCATATTTATGTAAACTAAACCAATGTAATCTTATGATGTTCACCATTTAAATGCATGTCACACTTCTGTATTGTACCTTTAGGTTAAATTAATAGCTGAAGGATGTAGACATGTAGTACGAGGAATAGACATCACGGTTTAAGGCTATAGTGTACTTGTCTTTCAACTCTTTTAAACTGTAGCTTTCTACTTGATATCTACATACTGCATATATATATATATATATATATATATATATATATATATATATATATATATATATATATATATATATATATTATTTATTGTGTGTGTTTGTCTACCTTATCCATTTCCACAGCAGTTGTAAATAGAGCTGAAATTTGGTAGGGGTGCGAGTGTCCTATGGGTTGGTTGTGAATGCTGTGCGTATTATCTCCTGTTCTTCCAATAGTGGCAGGTCGGCCGCCCCCTCCACCCATAGGTTGTATGTATTTACCCATTTTAAAAGATAAGGAACTGAAATTTGGTAGAGAGGTGCAAATGGTCTGGCGCTAGGAGAGGATCGTGCACTATCTCTTGTCCCTCCACCCGGGCGAAGCGGGGTAAATCAGAACTATTACTGCATTTCCATAATAAACAAATGCACACATATATACACTGTTAATTGACTCAAACATGTTAATGTATGTAGATATTTTGTGTGTAAGGCTTAATGAAGTCTGTACTAATTCTTCTTTCTTCTTTCCTTCCATGTCTCCCGACACGTGGAACTGTAAAATAAAGGCTGATAGTGATGACGAAAGTGAGGGCGTAGTGTAATTATAATTGGATAATTGTATAAATGTCAAACATCTGGAACTCTGAAAAGGTGAGTAGGGTAGAAATAAATGGACTCAAGTTGATCGAAATAAAACAAATAATCGCGAAAGTGCTTGTTTGCAGTTTATATAAAGAACCCACAGGATTTAATTTAATTATAGAAAACGGGGTATCTTGTCACTGCAGCCAATTTCAGAAAACGTGTATCATGATATCAGTGTGGAGTGATACGTGGATGCGCAGGTGTAGTGAAAATATCAACTCCGTTCTTTTCTTCCCCCACTTATTTGTAATCAGAAATTAATAATCACATTTTAGAAAAGAAATCATAACGAAATTGAAAATGTTGCTAATGCGCCGGCGATGTCGGTTGCGGAGTCGGCGACGAGAACTGTTGCTGTTAGTGGTTGTGGTGTTTGGTTTGGTCATAATTGCTTATTATCTAATGATGAATGAAAACGATGTTGAAAAGCAGCCCCCGTGTACTGTGTCTCAAGAACAGAGGAGAAGACTGTATCCACTGTTATCTACAGTATCATCTCTACTATCTCGCCTGTCTATCACACATTTCCTCTGCTATGATTCCTTATGGGGCGCGATACAGGAATCTGGCCCACTTCCCTGGGATGTTCATGCTCACCTCTGTGCTCTGAATGAAAAGGTGTCGGTTCACGATGAGGCTGAGCTGCTCCGAGCCTTCCGACGTCGTGGGCTGACGTTGGAGTACAGTTCCGCAGACGGTCAATACACCATCAGGAATTCGACAGGTGAGACGGGAAACATCGAGGTACCAACAGTGCGAGTGGTTCTGTTCGAGGAAGACGACCGACTACACATGTTAAGACGTGTGGGATGGCGACGACGTGTGTTACCCCCCGACTGTGATGCTCACCCGACTCTTCAGTGCTTCCCACCAAACCTGGCCGCGTTGCCTCTGCCTATGCGACCATTCGGCCCTCTTTCCTTGCCTGCGCCAAGGGAAGACATTGACTTGCTCAAGTTTCACTATCCGGACACCTGGTGGCGACCACTCCAGCCTCACTGCTAGTACTACCCCACATCTGATGTAAAGGTATGAAATAGTTGAGGTATATACGTGAATAATAAAATATCTTTTAAGTATTTAGGACTTGGAGTGCTTGATAATGGAACATAAATTTGGTGCTACAATAGCGTGCGGTATACAAAGATATATTTATTCTAACTAACCTCACCTTACCTTACCTTCCTTAACCTTACCCAACCTAACCTTCCAAACCTAACCTTCCTAGCCTTACTTAACCTTACCTTAACTTCCTTAATTTGACCTAACCTAGGCTAACTTGATTTAAATAGCCTATCCTGTAGACCTCACGCTATAGTAGTGTAGTGGACTTCTCCCCTACAACTGCCTACAACTGCGTAGCAGCTCACCACCTGCTATCGCATTCCAATGTGCCGCCTTCCCTAGCAACCAACCAGATGTTACCGTATCTTAGCAACGAAACTATTCACCGGCGACTTCTCGGGTTTTCCCACCATGTGAGAGGTTGGAGTCATAGACCATGTTTTCTATAGACTTTATTATAACAGCGTCAGCTGGGCACTGGCCATCAGGCGCTGCCAAGGACAAGCCCCCCCACTCAACATGGGAAAACATATCGTACGATGGTACACTCTTACATCTCCCCCCCAAGTTAAAAGGAAATGACAATGCACCTTTGAACTAACAAAAGGAAAACAATGCATTCATAAAAACAACAATAATGCAGGAAAAACCAGTCAAACAAAGGAAAAACAAAAACAAAAACAAAACAAAAACAAAAAAAACTTCTAAACTGATTTTACATCACATACACTACACCACGTAGTCCGTCAACCAGCCCGGAGGCCTACGGCCTCTCCTGGGCCTGGCCGCGCTCGACTGGGGAGGGGCCGTGGGTGCGGAGGAGGGCGCGGGTATGGAGGGCACAGCAGAAGGGGGCCCAGGAGGCACAGCTTGGTGCACCACCGGAGTAGTAGGCACAGGTGTGGAGCCGTTTCGCAAGTGGCGTCTGTTTCGGATGGACACCCTGCCACTGCCACCCAACCTGACGGCATACTGCCTGTGAGGGCGGGCTTCCACCACTATTCCTGTCCTGTCCCAGAGCTTGGTAGCTGCGTCCTGCACACGCACCTGCGTGCCCACGACTAGGGGAGCCAGCTGGCGGGATACCTCCCTCCGCGACAGGACCCCATCCTGTGTTTCGGCCAAGCGCACCTCCCTCATACGAAGTGCCCGCCGCCAGTGCTGGTCCACCTTATAGTGCTGTCTGGCCACGGGAACGCCGTCACGGAGCTGGCGGCCGGTGGCAAGCTGGGCGGGCGACTTGTTCACCCCCCGCAGAGGCGTGTTCAGGTACTGGAGGAGGGCCTGGGATGTCCTATCGCAGTCCAGGCTACCCCCGGGCCCAGTATTATCCCTGAGGAGCCTCTTGGCAGCCTTGACCCCAGCCTCTGCCCTGCCATTGGACTGGGGGAAGTGGGCCGACGAGAGGCGCACCTCGACCCCCCATGACTTGAGGAAATCTGTCATCTCAAGGCTGGCAAGGTTGGTACCTCCATCTGTGGAGATCTGCTCAGGTACCCCCCACCTCGTGAAGTAGGCCCGCAGACTGGCGATGATTTTTCCAGAGGTGGCCTCGTTGGGGAAGTGGGCGATCTCCAGCCAACCTGTCAGTCGGTCAGCATATGCTAGGTACGTGCGGCCCTGCAGGTGGAACAAATCGGCCACCACTTGTTGAAAGGGATAGTCTGGCGCTGGGGTCAGAACCAACGACTCCGGAGGCTGGGAAGGGGCGTGGGTCTCGCAAGCAGCACACCGGGACCGATGATACTGCAGGTCACCCTCCATGCCAGGCCAATAGACAGACTGCCGGGCCCGCCTGAGCATTGAGTCGAGGCCCTGGTGCCCCACATGCAGGTTAACGGCGACCCGGTGGCGGAGGGAGTCGGGGATGACAAGGCGCACGCAGCCCTGGTCAAAGGTGTAGGTGACCAAACCCCTGACCACAGCCAACCTGTCCCTCACCGAGAAGTACGGGCGCAGACAGGCCACCTCCTGTGACTTGTGGGGGTGCCAGTCGCCCGCCAGCACCCTCGACACTAGAATCTGGTACACTGGGTCGTCCGCCGCCGCTTTGCACACTGTGTCTTCGTCCATAGTGATGCACCCATCCTGATCCAGTGCTGCGATTGTGACTGCACACACTGCAGCGCACAGGTCCTCCTCTTGGTCCATGTCCTCCGCATCAGGCGCCGCCCTGAGGGAGGGGAAGCGGGATAGGGCGTCAGCTGCACAGTTCCGCTTCCCTGGCAAGTATTTGACCGTGAATCGGTACTGCAGGGTCTTCTCCTTGAGCCTGAACAGGCGCGGATTCGCCACATCCGTGAAGGCTCTGTCCCCTAGCAAGCCAACTAAGGGGCGGTGGTCCGTCACCAGAATGAGGTTCGGGCAGCCAAGGAGGAACAGCCTGGCCTTGCGCAGGCACCACACCACAGCCAGGGCCTCCCCTTCTACTGCAGCATAACCGGCCTCGGCCGTGCTCAGATGTCGGCTACCACACAGAGCCAACCGCCACCCTCCTCTGCAGCAGAAGGGCGTCTCTGGAGAGGCACAGGCACAGTATTGTTGCAGGACGACGAAGCCGATGCCCTCCCTGCTCCAATCAGTGACAGCTGCCGTAGGCCTGGATTTGTCGTAGTACACCAAGCCGTCTCTGGCCAACTGACAGATGGTGTCCTGGGCCTGGCGAAACTTGAGCCGCAGCTGGTCGTCCCAATACACCTGCTTGCCCACTGGCTTCTTGAGGAGCTCACGGAAGGGCTCCATCACAGGTGCAGTGGCAAGGAAGGGAGCCAACTGATTAACCAGGCCATGCCAGGACCTGATGTCAGTGATTGATGGCTGATCCGGCATGGGGAAGTCCTTGATGGCTGACAGACGTTGGGCAGTGGGCTGGTACAGGTCCCACCCCAGGAGGAAACCCACAAACTCAGCTTCTCTCCTGCAGAACAAGAACTTTTCTGGTTTCAGCGTGATACCTGTGCGAGCGCAGGTCTCCAGAAAATCGTAAGTGTGCCAGAACGCCCCCTTCACACTGGAGTCATAGAGGAGAGTGTCATCCACGCACTTGTACTTGCGGGGCACATCCTGAATAGCGTCGTCAAACCTCTTGGTGTAAGCATCTGACGCTGAGCAATGTCCCATGGGCGTCCTGCAGTATCGAAAACGTCCCCACGGCGTGATGAATGTGGTCAGGCGTCTACTCTCCTCCTCCAACTCCACTTGATGAAATCCCCAAAAGGCGTCGGCGACGGTTTTGAACGAGTGCACTGGCACCCCAGACACCATGTCGAATGGTGCAGGTGTGTGGTGCGTCTCCCTCAGACAGCTTGCATTGAGGCGTTGGAAGTCCACAGTGCGCCTGGGCTGACCGTTTTTCTTGGCCACCACGACCATCCTGGCGCACCACTCCGTAGCCTCACCAGCAGGCACTGGCTGGATGACGCCTCTCCTGACGTCCTCCTCCAACTGGGCCTTCACCTCCGCTTCCCAGTGTTTCGGAACGGGAGCGGGTGTGTGACAGGCATAGGGGGTCGTGCCGGGCGTCAGGTGGATACGGTGAGGGGGACCAGTCATGACTGGCAGTGGGGACCTGCTGGTGTTGAATGCGGTAGACGAAAAGTGCGTGAGTAGCCATGCCTCCAGCCTGGCCACATTCTCCTCCAAAGGAGGCAAGGGTATCTCAACTGGCCTCGGCGGGAAACGGCTGCTCTCAGGTAAACGGTTCGGAGGTAGATCGTCGGCAGTGTGCCGCTCCCCTCCATCGCCCACGGCAGCCACAGCACGTCTATGGAGCGGGAAGTCGACAGGCACCAAGTTGAGGCACTTGCAGGCCTCCAATGACAGATAGAGGGCCTTGGCTGTCTGCACGAAGTAGACCTCCTGGACGGTGGACCCCTCGTCCACACCGAGGCGGCAGGGGGCGGACCCCAGACACTTGAGCTGTTTGTTCGCCACGTCCCTTAAGCCATTACGGGCCCGAAGTTGCCCCGGACACAAACCGATGTCCCGGAGCAGGGATGCGCCTGCCACACACACCATAGCACCCGTGTCGGCTACAGCCAGCACAGGGGTGGCGGGGGAATTGCCCCCGGCCTGGGACACGAACACTTGTAACCTGGGGTGGCGGGATAGCTGGGCTGTTGCCACTGTAACAGCGCCTGACACATCCACAGGAGCACTTAGGGTTGACTTACTCCTACAACACCTTTTGAAGTGACCAACCTTACCGCAATTGCGACATGTAGCCCCACTTGCAGGGCAGTTACTTTTACCAGGTGCATGTGACACGCCGCAATTACCACAGTGTCCTCGACTTGGGTGTGGAGGTCGGGCGGCAGCTACCTCAGGCTCACCGGTGACGTCATCACCACCCGCCACTGCCTCCGCAACTGTTCCCACCACTGCCTGGCCAGACGTACGACACAATACACCAGCATCTCTCACTGCTGCCTCAAATAACATGCATTTATTTCTAAGCACTTCAACACTATTATAACTAGAGTACCCCTGGAAAATTTCCCTTTTCAACACTGGGTTACTCAGGCCCACCATAACTTTACGTAATAGCATGTACTCAGAGAGGTCGTTATCACAGGTGGGACATTTAAACTCACACTCCACTGCTTCTGAGAAGCATCGTTGAAAATACCTTTTCATGGGCTCCTCTTCACCTTGTTTGCTGTTGAAAAACTCGTTCCATTTCACAGCTTGGTTTGAAGATTGAAGAACCATTCCACTGATGGCGTCCAGGGCTTCTTTGGGCGAGAGCTGCTCCCACTGACCGCTGGGGTATCTCGAGTCAATCACTCTTTGGAGTGCGGGGACGCAGTTCAGGCGAATGTGGAGTGTGGCCACCAGCTGTGGCCACCCGTTCAGCAGCACCCATGACTCCATGGACCGCCTCCATGTCCTAAACGCAGCTGCTGGCATTTCTGCCTCACACTTCTCTGGAGCGACAGCTGCTGAGGGCTTCATGACCGGCATAGAAGCATGACCACCGCCAGCACCTAGAGACGCCATCTGAGCCATCAATGCACTCATGGCCTGCTGCTGGGCGCGCGTGGTGTTCCCGGCCGGTGTAGAGAAGCCCTGGCGTCCCCTTGAGGGCGTCGAGAATCGTGGACGTGTAGGGGCCATGTCAGCGTTCTTGTCAGGGCTGTAATGGCGTGTCGGGCCCCGACATATCCTACTCACTGTGCGCCATGTGAGAGGTTGGAGTCATAGACCATGTTTTCTATAGACTTTATTATAACAGCGTCAGCTGGGCACTGGCCATCAGGCGCTGCCAAGGACAAGCCCCCCCACTCAACATGGGAAAACATATCGTACGATGGTACACTCTTACACACCATGACTCATAGCGGCTGCTGCGGGGTATATAAGCTCTGTCTCTCCAGTGAGATTCAGTCTGACCAATCTTCTTGAACAAGAAACACCTCCTCCTCTGCCGCTGCCTGGCGACCCTCGCCTCTCCTCCGCCTGCCTCCTCGCTCCCGCCAGCGAGCATGTCCTTCTCTGAGCTTCCTCACCAACCAATTCTCATTCTGCCCATTTTCCTGAACAAGCAACATCTCCTCCAGCAAGCTCCACGCTGTTAACATTTCATTCAACCAGGAATCCAGCAACAGGCAACATCTTCTCTAACGAAGCTCCTGCACATCTACCTCCTTCAACACAATACTCACCGCACGTCTCTACCAAGCAGCCCCTCACCACACAGCACCTCCAGCACCAGACTGTCTATCATATAACTTATATATATTATATAAGAAAACCACATTAGAGTTTCCTTCCATCCTGAGTGCTAGACAACATTAATATCTCGATACCCCTACAGTAGCACCTAAAAATTATCCTTATTTACCGGGAAACAATAATTTACAATACAGTGCTGTGTTTATTTTTCATAAAAATCCAAGAGGAACACCCTGTCATACACACAACTCAGGTCCATAAACTAATGAATTTAAATGTCTCGTTCCAGGAAACCTACTAACTTCTGTGAAGGTTCGTCGGCTGTTGTTGCTCAAGATTATATGGCATCATTCTTGTGGCTGCCACATGTTTACCACTTCTGAAACACAGAACTCGTGGTTTCCATTGATCAAAACTTCTCTGATATTTCGCATCCCAAGTTTAAAGCTCCAATTGGTTTAAACTTCCCAGTCATGCCACCTCTTGGTCTGTCAGTGACCATTTTTTTTATATAATTGACACAGACTGATCGAAATTTTTAATAGAACACTTTTTAAAATCTCATGTTCATACAAATATCAAGTATCCATTATTTTGTTAAAAATACTGTATAAATCCTGTAAGAAAATACGTGAGACGACTCGTCATAACATAGCATAATAAACAAAATATACTGTAGTCTTTTGGACAAAATTACGGTAAATTGGTGCTCAGTCGTATATATACTGGGCAGGGTTCTGTTTCTGAGCTCAATATTGGTAAAATGATCTTAAAACTATTCAAATAACTTTGACAAACATATTCACATGAACTAAATGTAGTTCGTTGCAAAAAATTTCTTTTTAAATATAGTATATTTAATTTTGCGGACAGTAGTCAGCATCAATGTTCCAACAACACGTGGGTTGATCTACAGTCGATATGTTTGTTGTTATTGAGGTTTGCCCAAACAGTTTGCTCAATAAACCTACACTAACTGACGCGTGTAGACTTATTTGTAATCTTACCTTTGTATTTGTCACATAATGTTGAAATTATTTCATGATAATTCATAACTAATGCGCCACAATAATCTTTTGTTTCTTTCTGGGTAAAAGGTTAACTGTTTAGAATTGTCAGTCTTCACATTGTCGATTTTATTCATCATATAGGTTACAAGGGGGGTATTTATTATTAATTTTCCTTCCTGCCGATTACAACTCGTCGCTTGACTAATAGGAGAAGGCCCCATTGTATCACAAAGGCGTTTTTTTTCGGTTCCTCAAAGAGGTGAACCCTTGATTTTAAGTTCAAGTTGAAATATATTTGTTGATGTACAAATGCAGCCTCAGTGGCCACATATTTTTGCAGACATTCTCCTTCAGCTACAATATATTTTTATACATATTTATTATATTAACAAGTTAACTATGAAAGTTACAAAATAAAATTTTTGGGAAAAATAATTTGTCCTTGCAAGTAATGAAAATATGAAGAACTGGGGGTGTATCTCCTTGTTATGACCTTGGATTCACTTTTCTCTTGTAATGTGTGTGTGTGTGTATTGAAGCAGGACTGTCCATCTTAAATGCACAAAAATTAACAATTTGTTACTGTAAACTATTATGGATCACTTGCGTAAGTTTTACAGTACGATATTGTCAAAGACGCACAAAAATTAACAATTTGTTTCTGCGTAAAATATGAATCACTTCAAGTCCTATTTGTCTAAGAGGTTGTGCTTTGTAGCCAGATTAAACTCATGGATATCACCATCAACGATGTTTATTACTGAAATGTGTAATTAATATACTTCTTATATAGAGAATATAACACTAGTACCAGAATGGAATAATGTAAATATATTTTACTCAGGGACGAATTGTCAGCTTTTGAGTTAGGGCGGTGGGTAGGTGTGGTGCAGCGGGCAAGGCGACTGGCGGTCGATCACCTAGAGTAATGTTTGGTTAGGTGACTCATCACCATTGCTCACTCGACGAATATTTTCTTAGTAAGATCACGGCCGCTCAAAAACAAAAAGTTCTCACCAGAGTTAAGGGGAACCAAATTCATTTTATCCTAGCCGTATTCGAGGGAAAATTACACCACCAGATTATATAGTCATTTGTTGTAATATTGAATTGATTATAATAGAAAAAGATAGTTTGTTATGTAGGTCTTCTGTTCTTACTAAAAACTAGTAGGTATGTGCAAACTTGTCATGTAAACTACACCTGTTTATTGATAAAACTGTTAGTAGCATTGATGAGTAGATTATTCACTGGCAGACAAAGGAAATTGTAACATTAGTCATTTGTGAATACTTATAACGTTCAACACGAACGATAGTTGGGTAGTTACCCAACTATGTATATATATATACTGTATATATATAATGGTAACACTACTTCAACAGTGAGTGTAGTATAGGAGGTGGTAGTGGTCGGAAGTAGTGTCAGAAACAGATATATCATGGGGGTATCGTAACTATACAGCCCTCTCAGAAATTGTCGCAGATTATACAGTACTATACTCACTCACCTAAACGCTGTGCTATTTCAATATAGGTATGTCATTTGGGTATCATTTTCCTTACGGTCCACAATAGCTTTGATAATTAAAAGCAAAAAAAATCACGATAGTTTAGATATTTCTAAGACTTTTTCTTCTATGGCATTTTCGTCACTAATGACTTATAACCGAGATATAACCGGGATATTTATTTCATATTTTAATTGTTTAACCATTGGTACTATTCAACTTAAGAACAACACGGGAATCGTAGGAATTTTATCTTTAATCAATAGTTTAGACAATTTTAAGACACTTCTGTGACGTTTCCCTCGCAAACGACTTAAATATGCATGGAGGCCCAGGAGGGCGGAGCCCTCTCGGTTAGGAGGCTAGGTTAGGTAAGTTTTAAGACATTTGCGAGGGAAATGTCATTGAAGAAAAATGTCTTCGAATTGTCTAAATTAAAGGAAAATATATTTTTAGTTAGCAACGCGATTATGGGCCTTAAGGAAAATTTTACTGTCATGATTCAATGTATGTTAATATGTGCTGTCAATTTTGTTTCGTTATTCTCTTATGATGATGTACAAGAATGTTAACCATTGCAAGATGCTTAATATGATTATAGTATATGATTGTTACCTATTTATTTAACATACTGATATACTATGTGCTGTACAGTATATTTTAAATGTAGTTTTGATGTCAATTGGTGAACATTTTATTTTACGTACATATACTACAATAATAGTAGGCCTAATATATACAACATTAGGTAGGTTATGTGTTGCAATTATTACGTGTATCGATGAAATTGTTAGTCAAGATTTTGATACACTGTGCTTGTTATCAACATTTTTTATACTTTTATTACAAAATGAAGTGATGCATAAGCTATGTGCATATATTTTGTATCATATCATTATGGCCATATCGTCATCCATAATGTTACAAGCACAAAGGAAATAAACACATGAATATTAGTGAGCAATATGTGCACTATAAGATAATAAGTAGATCATGTGCGGAAGAGTACAGATGCCACAAACCACAAAGTTTTTCGGTTAATATTGACTTATCTTGGGCAAATGCTTCGTTCGGCAGATAATTAGGCTCCTAGACTCGCAATAGCGGCACTACTTATGTCTTTCCAACGATAAAACGGTATGGCGGCCCGATCCATGCTCCATGTTTTCCTCCACTCATTGTTTGTTTACGAGCCACTCGATCTATAGTAGTGTGGGGTATGAGATTGTTTGGTTCACACTCAGGATGGGATGGAGAAAGGAAACTCACAATGTGCTCTCTATATACATGTTGTATTGGATGTACAATGCAGCTTGGTGCTGGGAAGGCAGCATGGTTACAAGCGTGATGTAGAGAGAGCTGGTTGGTGAGGACGCTCAGAGGAGGACAGCTTGTGGGTCGCCATGCTCGCCAGCGGGAGAGAGGACCGCCAGGCAGGCGGAGGAGCGAGGACCGCCAGGCAGGCGGAGGTGTTGCTGGCTGGTTGGTGTAGGTAGAAAGAGACAGATCACCACGAGGTCAGGTCTTAAATAGCGGGGGTAGGCGTGGCTTAGCAGTTGACCCCCGCTCCGTGGTGTATGGCGGCGCTGGTTGACCTAGACCACGAGGCATACACTGGGGAATTGGTGGGGTCGGCTAGGCAGCGACAAACAGCGTTTGTAGGGGAGAATTCCACTACAATACTCCCCCTTCCCTCCAGGCTGTGTAGGAGACTTGTTGTCTGCAGAGTTGCATAGCACATGTGAGGCAGAACGGGCGGTGCATGCCACATGTGAGACAACGGCGATGGCGTGGATGAGCCGGTCGCTGGGGACAACTGTCTAGATACACAATATCTGTGGGAGTAGAGAGGGAGAATAAGGGTGTGTGGAGGCGATGAATTTTGTGCTTCCCTCACGGTAGGTACAGAGTCGTCAGATGCGCCTGCTGGGGTGTGTGGGCCTGGGTCAGGAGCAAGGGCTGTGTCAGCAGCAGCGGATGAGGGCTCGTGACAGCAGCTGGGTCCACAACAGCAGCAGGGTGCAGGACATTAGCAGGGAGTACCTGAGGGAGAAAAGAGGGGTGTGTGGGTCCGCACTCAGGAACAGAGGCCGCATCAGGGGCGGCAGGGGTTACTGCTGGGCCGGGGTCGGCGTCTGAGGCAGGACGGGTGTGCTGGGGTCGGTAGGACGTGGTGCTTGGGGCAGGAAGAGGAGCTGGTGTCTGCTTAGAGTAGCAGAGCTGCTCTAGGGTGTCTAACCTGCGGTGAAGAAACAATAGTTGTAGAGCCGATGAGAGCTGCTTCTGGGTGGATAAGCCAGTCTTCCATGTTGCTTGAAGACTGGGAGCGTGATCAGTTTCTCCTCCATCCTGTGTGAGTGCGAATCTCCGGGAGCCACCATTTGTGGGGTATGAGATTGTTTGGTTCACACTCAGGATGGGATGGAGAAAGGAAACTCACAATGTGCTCTCTATATACATGTTGTATTGGATGTACAATGCAGCTTGGTGCTGGGAAGGCAGCATGGTTACAAGCGTGATGTAGAGAGAGCTGGTTGGTGAGGACGCTCAGAGGAGGACAGCTTGTGGGTCGCCATGCTCGCCAGCGGGAGAGAGGACCGCCAGGCAGGCGGAGGTGTTGCTGGCTGGTTGGTGTAGGTAGAAAGAGACAGATCACCACGAGGTCAGGTCTTAAATAGCGGGGGTAGGCGTGACATAGCAGTTGACCCCCGCTCCGTGGTGTATGGCGGCGCTGGTTGACCTAGACCACGAGGCATACACTGGGGAATTGGTGGGGTCGGCTAGGCAGCGACAAACAGCGTTTGTAGGGGAGAATTCCACTACAGTAGCTTCTCTCACGCCCACAAAAAACGTACAATTGCACCAGATCATAGAAAGTTCTTTTTGTTTAATATGCAGGGTCCGCTTGGAAGTTAGATATGGTTAAGTTGGTTTCGTTCGTTTGGTTGGTGCTGTCTTCCGACAACACTTCGGCCGCTTGCGTTTCTTATCAACTAAGGTTAGGTTTGTTTTATTTTAGAAATAACCCCATTTTAACACGCTTCCCTGAACTACGACAATGTCCACCACAAAACACAGTGAAATTGCACCATTAACTTTATTTTCTATGAAAAATCGGTTTATCATAATAAATACCAGTTTTTCATTAAAAGGTAGAACTTTAATAAGCTGTTATACAACAATAGTAGTCCAGACACACCTAAACCTATGTATCTATGATAAGATTGATATTCCACAAATAAAAGTTTGACAGAAAGCTTCAGAATGTCATTATATATATATATATATATATATATATATATATATATATATATATATATATATATATATATATATATATATATATATATATATATATATATATATATATATATATATATATATATATATATATATATATATATATATATATATATATATATATATATATATATATATATATATATATATATATATATATATATATATATATATATATATATATATATATATATATATATATAGTGCACTCAATGAATTATACTGTTGTATATTATAAACAGTTTTCGATATTACTGTGTATGAAAATACATTTTATCCATTTTGGAAATAATTTTGATTATATATTATACTGGGTGTGAGACATGTGAGTGGTGGGCAATAGTTAGTGTAAAGGAATAGTAAGATGTAATGTAAAAATATACAATGAAGAGTAATGCTGTAATAATAGCAGAGCATCATTTTCCTTGCTTCTCATACAGTACAGTACTGCTATTTTAGAAATAACATGAATGGACGGGTTGACGGTCGGAATTTTTTTGTAAGATGGCAGGTCAATGGATAAAGAAAACTCTTAAATTTCACTATAGTAATGACATTTTTATATAAATTGGGCCAAAAAGTGTAAAAAAAATACGGGTTTAAGTTGCTAAAAGTCATGTGATTGCGACAAACTCTGTGATTGATTATGACGTCACTGGTTAGGGCGAGCCGCCCAGCGGGAGACAGCCAGCTGTGGTGTATGTGTTGTTACCAGCAGAAATACAGGACTTGTGGCTATATACAATGTTCAAGCAAAGGACAAAGAGTCGTTGGTGCTTCGTTCCAATGTGCAAGAGTACCGACAAATCCTCACCAGGCAAAATATTCATCACAGTACTGAAAGATAAGAAAGAGTGGATTGCTGCTCGACGGCACTTCCCCATGTCAGAATACTGCATCTACTGTTGTGAAGATCATTTTGATGTGAGTATTAAGTTGATATACACAAGTATACCTTATTTTTAGGTTAAAATAAATTACTGCACAAGTATCATAGTGTGTATTTACTTGCTGGGTGTCAAAATGATGCAAAAGACCGATAACTCCAACATGGAAGTTTTCATCACTGTTCTCTATTTCATGTCTGGAAAATGTAAGTTTTCGTCACTGATGAATATATTTAATGTGGAAGGACTAGGGACGACCATGGCCAGGGGGTGCGCTTGAGATCATCTACTTTTGGTAAATTTCTTTCATCTGCCTTGATGAACCCTGGGTGTAATTGTCCAACCCTTTCGGCTGATCGGCTCTGTAAATAAACATTATTCGATAATGAATTGTGCTTTACTGTGCAACACAGTAATGCTATATTGAATATATAAATATTACTAAGAACATTAACTAATTCAATGGACATTAGCTGCCCATACTAGTAAAGTATAAACATTCCAAACAATATTGGTATTATTTTGGTTTTGGTCATCTGGGGAACCTTAAGATTCTAACTTTGGGATTAAGTACTCTAGAGTCTAAACAATAAAACATTATCTCTACGGGTTTTCTATCGTAAAACATTTTTCGATCGCATAAGAAAGTACAGGTCATAGGTTAGGTTCGGGTATGATGAGTTATAAGGTTTGCTTAACATACATCGGCGAGGGGAGGGTGTAGTGACTCAAAACTAGTGATTTCCGATAGAAGTGAAGATCAAAATCGTTCAAAACACATCGCAAACCATCAGAAAAAAAAACATAGTCTGCATGTTTAAGTACAGGGATGACCAAAACTTAAAATTTACCCAATATAGCACGTCTCGAATCTAAGCATCCAAATACTTATGGTAGTTAAGGTAAAGTTTTACCCATTAATTAATATCAATGATGGTATATCCCATTGGTTCATCAGTGAATCATCAAAACAATAACAGCACTATGCTCTCATGTTTACCCAGCATCAGGCATTCTCAAAATAAAGTCCAGACAATGTCATTACTTCTAAATTTACTCGTATCTCCACCCGTGCGTCGTCTGCAGGGAAGGTGGTGACGTCATTGCAAATGGAGTCCTTGTTTCTGGAGAAATAAACTTATCTCGACTATTATAGCAAGACTTTAAACCTTTATTACAAATTATATATGCCATATCACTCTACGAACGTGGCAGAGTGTATTTCTTGTGTTTACCCAGAACCGTCAACTCGTCCATTAATCTATTATTAGTATGACTCTGGTGATACGGAAAAAAATCTCGGGTTTTATGTATTTGTTTCTATTGTTATGATAAAGCACGTCTTTGCATTTATAGAAAAGTGAAAACTATGTAAGTGGGTTACACAAGCCTTACAGCCCGTTATAGGCCCTGTGGATACAGCCAGCACTGCACAAAACTTGCAGTACGAGTGCTTTACCCATTAAGCTGCCACACACTTTATAATTAAGTATATGCTAAAAAAAATTCCACTGGGTTTAAATCAATATCAAACATGCCGAAGATTACATTTTATATTTGTTCGGAAATCCATGAAGTTCAAGGGTGTTGTGTGTGTGCACCAGATGTGTGGGGTGAAATGAACGAAACGTATGAATCATTAGAAAAAAGTCACCAGTAAGAATAAAAAGGCAAATGGAGCACAGAACAGTATGATTATAAGATAGATTAATGCTCACTTTGATCTTAAATTAGGCGGCAACGTATCCAATTATGTCTTTGTTTACGACTTGATAGCTTCCTTTGTGATGCTTGTTATTTCTGATGTTGCGTCTTTTGTGTTAGGTAGCATGGATATTAAATGTTATATAGTGGCAGATCTTCCAATGCTTCACTTTGAAATGCAGGGAATTCTTATAAGCTTCCATTTAGCATTATTTGGCTCGGTTAATATCGCCTATCGAGTTCTTGTGTAGGTGGTCTGTTTGGCGGGTCCTCTGAGGTTATAATTTACTTCCACCTAGCGACTGTCATATTATACACCGTTATTATAGCTTTAACGGGTGGCTAATTTCCATTTCCTAAAATATATTAGTATTCACGATGGAGTTCCTTAAATATACTGCACAGATAGTTGTTT